GGAGCGGCGCTCACCGTGTGGCGGTGGCAGACATGGCGCAGGCAGCAGCTCTGCCACGAGATGCACAGTCATTTCAGACGGCTTTTGGGGAAGAAAAACGGTTTCTCCTCCCCTCCCCGGCCTGCAGTGCTCAGTTTCCCAGGATGCGTGGCATGGCACCCTGACCCACTGAGCAGGGGGCTCACCGGGAGATGCACCGTGCCGGTGGGCACTAGGTAGAGGTTTCCACTCCTCCCTCTGCCACGGACTCGCTCCCAAGACGCCCCTTTCCTCACCTCGGGTCAGTGCCCAACCCTGAACCAAACTGCCAGGCCTGGCCTCAGCGAGGGGAGGGGAATGAGCTGCTCTTGGAAAAGGAAAATACCGTTTCTTTTGCAGGAAATGGAAAGGTTTTTACCCAACAGGGTCACTTTTCGCTCCCTTACACCCGGAAAAGCAACCGCTTGGAGAACAGTAGTAAAGGCTTCTAGCTTATTTTGTCAAAATTCCTACATGGAAAAAAGAAAACCAACTGTAACAACCCCCCCACCCAGCCAGCCCAAACCCCAGCCCACCCCTCCCTGCCCAGCACAGGGTCTGCGGCCCTTTCAAAGCCTGAGCACACCCCTCGGCATCAATCCCTCCCGTCCCCAAACGCTCCACACGCAAATAAATCGATGCACGACACGAACAGCCCGCGTCAGCCGGACCGCAGGCACAGGGGTGGGACTGAGGTGAGGGAACACCTGGCAAGCCACGATGAGAATGTCATCTGTCCTTTCAAAGTTGAAGAAAATCACCCAAAAACACTGACTCTGGGAAGGTGAACCCAAAGGATGACTTAGGCAGCTGCCAGTTTTGATTCTTCAGAACAAACGCCGACAAGTGAGGAAACATGGTCTTGTGGCTTTTATTGATTTCATATGGAGAGATATCAGCATACTGGTGGCACTGGGATGCTCCGGGGCGCTGAACGCACACAGCCATCCCCTGCGGCACAGGTGGGATGCAGCTGACAAACGCTACCTTTACAAAATGACAGTAAAAACATTAAAACTTACCCTAAATTAGCCAAACCCGCAAAGAACTAGTAGTATTTCAGTTTAACATCCTTTTTTAAAATAGGTCTGCACATAAATAAAAGTGTTAGTCGTTAAGGAAACACGGTCTGTGAAACGGAACAGCAGGATTTCGAGGGAACAGGATTTCTTCCTGAAGCTCATGTGACTCTTTAGGGATGGTGTAGCTGTCCTCTGCCTGAACACGAGGAAGCGATGCTGGAGACAGCAGCTTGCAAGACCTTAAAATATCAAATACTGAACATTCTTTGAAAGGAATGATTTCAAATAGACTAAATTTTTTCATAAAGAGAGCTGAACAGACTTCTCTTTCTGATGGCGTTAGGTAAGGAACACACACAAGCCCCGCTAAAAATAATTTAACCTCCAAAGCTGGTCTGTAAGAAAAGTTTTTAAGGATTTGCATAAAACCCCTCTCAAGGTAAATCTAAGTAGAATATGTATTTTAGCGATATTTTATTAACAGAATAAGTAACTGCTCATCAGATAAACATCTATATTAAACCCAAACAGACAGGGAACACCTCAGGAACTGACACGGAGGCAGCACACGTGCACGAGCCAGTTACTGGCAGTTCTGGGAGGTGGCGTGAAGGAGAAGGCTCTGCTCAGCGACCGCAGTTTGGCAAGACATTCAGTCATTCCTCCAGGACGTAGATTTGCTCAAAAATGTGGAATAAGCTCTGTTTTTACCAACTTATCTGAATAAGGCATGATGTCAGCGTGTCGAACATGGGGCCGACGGTGGCCGTGATGTCGGCGAAGGGCGCGCTCTGCCTCAGCTCGATGGCCGACTGCTTCTTGAGCGTGAGGAAGATGTAAAACTTGGCCGCCGCTTCTCTCCGGCTGTTTTTCCGACAGAGCTCCCGCAAGCTGAAAGAGCACGCACCGGATCGCTTCAGGTGCTGGGTAAGGGAGACAGGAACACCAGTTAAGTCACTTTCGCTGCCAGTAAAACCAGATCCCACCAAGCCTGAACCGCAGAGCGCTGCGCGGAGTGAGTATTTTCCGCTAGAACGCCTTGGACGGGATCTTGTCTTGGCTTCTGCAGTGACATAAGCAGCTCTGAACATTTTATTGCCACAATATCGCCAGCCCCTACGTATGTTACTAAAATCTCCACGCCCGTGGTTCCACAGAATTCCATGAAGCTGTACTGAGTCACGTGAGGAAGCGCGGCTGTAATGGTTTTCATGATTCAAACCAACAAAAACCACTGCGGACCCAGTTCGTTGTACACCAGCTATAGCCTAGGCAAGTCCAGTCACAGCTAACTAAGGGTTAATATTGCTTGTTCTTAATGGCTACACCTATATGTAAGTATTTATTCATGGGCATTGCACAGAACCTTTGAAACATGCCCACAGAGAATCATTTTTAAAAAGCCCAAGAAGGCTGTGAAGCCCACACTCAGGTTTCTCCCTCGCCTTCCTCCCTTCTCCACTCAGCCACGTGGCACGCTGCACTGGAGAACTGACCTGAAGGGAAAATCACTTTTTGTTGTGGTTTTATTTTTCTACCCACTCCCAACCAGACCAATCCTGGAGCACCAAAACACTCGTCTGGGGCAAAAAGAAAGGAGCAGCACTGTGCCGTTAGGCCAGGAGTTTGGACATTCAGCACCAGAGCAGCCTGTGCTGGCTGCTGTCGATACAGCGCGTCATGTCATACAGCTTCACCAGTTTTACAAGGATTTCTGCAGGAAAAGCAGAATAAGCCTTCCTGATGCTCAATTTCAAGCACCTCGAAAGTGCTGGGGCATTAAAACCTCTTCAGGGTGGTGGTACCAGCTTTCTCTTTAACATAACCCTCACTCGGTTCCCTGGCCAAGAAACAGCTCCAGCAGAGGAATAGCCCAACGGTGGCACCCTGCAGTGCTCAGCTGAGATCTGGCAACCTGCAAGCAGCCAGGAGCTGGGTTTTGTAGGGATACTCCAGAGCATGCTCATAGAAGGAAGAGAGCAAGGGCTTGGCATTACAGCAAACGCTGCCGTGGAAGCAAGCATTTAGAAAATTTTAGCGATTGCAGTAGCTGTGGGAGAGGACACCATGCCAGGCACTCGGAATCCTGGTTTCCTACATAAATATCCAATAAAATGCAGCTACACGCTGCATGGGCAGCGTAAGCAGGAGATTTCTGACATGGTCCGACTGAAATCAGCACCTGGTTTCGGCATCTCATGACAAAATCCAGCACTGGTACCTGTAAAGTTTTTAATAACTGAAGAGTTCTTTTGCTCCACCATGTTTCTTGACTGTCTTTGCCGTCCCTCGTGAGCTCCTGGAGAGGAGAGAGAACAGAAGGTTAGACAGCATGTGTAAAAAGTCACTCTCCATGATGATGAAAAGGACACGAGTTCCAGCCTAATTGAAAATCCATCGGGACATCTGGGACCTCTGACAGCTCTGTGGCCGTGCTGGGCTGGGTGAAACAGAGGGAAGGATGCTAACGGGGTTCTTCCCACCACAGAGAGACAGACCAGGTGCAACAGCACGTTCGGGACCATGGAAGTGGCCCCACTGAGCCTGAGGGAGAGCTTCACAGCACGGCGCTGTTCGCCGCGACTGGGATTCTGGCAGGATTTGTACCGGTCAGGCACCAAAAAGGATGTTGAAAAATTTGGCTTTAGGTTTTGGGCTTAACCTCCGAAGCCGACAGGAGAAGTCTGCCCCTGTTTCAGTCTGAGCATCCTCAGGGCCAGTAAGTTCAGAAACTCTTTCCTTCTTGCAGGAAGTAAAATCTCTGAATAAGGAGCTGTTTCCCCCACAGCCTCTGAACGTTGGAACGCACACATCCCCGATTACTACGCCATGAAAGTTTCTGACTGGCAAAACACGTACGAAAGATGATGTTAGTACACCAGGATTCACTGTAAGTGCACGATGCCATCATTTTTCTTTGTTTTTTTTTTTAATATTTCTGAGAAAGAGCACGTTCTGTTCTGAAACAAGGCAGCGCTGCCGGCTGTGAGTGCACATACATTTGGTAACTCCGCTCGCTGCGTCTCAGCTCCGTGGCCCAGCGAACTGTTCCCCAGGGAGGAGCCCTCAGGGAAAGCCGCTCCATCCTCCTGTTCGAACGGAAAGGACCATCAACAGGCAGCACAATTTAAGCACACAGTGTAATTCTCAATTATATAATTCTGCTCAGAAGATTTATTAGAATAAACGTTTCCCAAAGTGATTTGATAGTTGCTGTTTCTACCATGTCTCTCCTGACAGAGGAAAGGATCTCGCTGCAGGATTCATCCCACAGCTGGATCCACACCTACGGCCTCAGTTCAGGCACAGACCCGACATTTTCTGCTGCCATTAGGTCCAATTCTGTCATTCTTTTTCAACTTTAACGAGCCTCATGTTCTGTAAAGAATGCCCTTTCACGTTAGATGGCAGAAACAGATTGTTATTGCTTGAGTATTTCCTCGACTTGAGACACAAAAGATAATTTTTATCATTTATGAAGATGATTCTCTCTTCAGTAGGAAAAGGCTGTATTTTGTATTGAAGTTCCCTTAATACTTCATGATGAGACTGTAATCTATACTGATTAATAGACATTTTAATTAATAGGTCAATTCATGGTTTGAATCTTCCAAAGTGCCTATAAACAAACCCTCATGACACAAGCTGCCTCTAGCATCCTTTTCAAACACCCATTAGTAATTTCTTATCGTGTTTTACGTGGAACCCTAGCACAAAATTAAACCAATAAATATATTTAGGTCTCTAAAATGGACAGAAACTGCTCACTATAGTTTCACCACAGCCATCAGGAGTTTCGTTTCTGTTCTTCTCTGATGTCAACATAAACAAATCATTTCTGTATTTTCTCTCAGTCTCTGAATCAGCTGGCTCCTGCAGATAACTGGGTTCTTCCACTATCAGCATCTCTGTGTTAACAAAAAACAAGGTTCAAGAGGAAATTACTGTGAATCTCTGTCCTTAAAAAAAATAAATTAAAAAATGAAAACCAAAAATCACACCCTAGTTTAGGAATCTTTGAGAGCAAGAGCCAGAATGAGTAAAATATCGAATAAATATCATTCCCAATAGGACCACGGAAGAAGAAGCAGCTTTCAAGAGTTTTTCCTTTTCTAAAAGTTGACCTTTATGGACTTGCAGGAGGTGGTTTGGTTGGTTAACTTCTGAGGCAGCCATACAGGTTATATTTCTAACATCGCCTTCTCAGGAGTGCTAAAATGGAACATTTCTTCTTGCTTGGTATTAACTAAAACACAGTCTTCAAGATACAAATATAAGTTATTCACAGGAATTTGGAAATTTGGAGAGTGGTTTGTTTAAACTCAAGCGGGAAGCTTGTTTTTTTTTAAAAAAAAAAACAACAAACAAACCTGCAATTTGGTAGACAATTAGAGAAACCAAAAGTGAAACTAAAAATACCTCCTTATGCCACAAGGAAGAAAAAGTCTCACATTTCATGTCTGATCTAAAGAACAAAAGCAGCAAAGTACTTATTAAAAAAAAAAAAACACATCACCAACATTCTTTTTAATAATTAACAGACAATTTCCTCAACATTTAACTTTTTTGTCCTTGGTTCTGCAGAATACTGCACAAACGCCATGCCTCTCAAACATCATGTAAAACAAAATATTTTCTAACAGCTAATTCTGCAACAACAGAATTAAAAGATTACCTGTGGTATCTTGCTCTTTTCTTGTTTCTTCCATTCCAGACTCCTTCTGTACTGCATTTCTTCCCGTCTTAAATCCAGGGCTCTTGAAGCATTTTGCAAACAACTGAAAACAACATTTTTATTTGCTTGCTTTCAGAAGATCATGTTAGAGTATTTGTAAACATCAACACAAAGGCACGAATATGAGCTGTATATTAATTACTGCAACCTGAGATATAGGGATTTGAATTAGGTCATTCTGAAAACCTGCAATTTTTAATTTTTTTTTTTAAGTAACAGCCTTCTGCAGCTTCAACTTTGGCAGCGAACTCCATGAAGAAACATCTTGGCAACAGCTTGGCTCATTTTTGCTTGGGATTAAAGAAAGCAATGCCTGCAGCTACCTGTGTGCAGATTTCTCTGCCCGTGTACTGGTGTGCGACTGTTTTTCATCCTCATAAAGAACAAGCTGTAATTCTGCACCTCGACTCTAAGTGGTGAAGCTGTGCTGCTCTAAGGAACCTGAGGAGCTGCTTGCCTGCAGACCCTGCCTCCCACGACAGAAGAAACACGGTGCAATTAACACAAGGCTGCTGCTCAGGGTTTACACCGTATCTTTCTGCACCACCTTGTGTGCACGTTGATTTCTCATTTGTCTTATCGCCAGCTCTAACCTTACAGCTTCTTTGAATGGTCTGTGGGATAACACGCAGGGGCACGAGAGGCTTTGATAGATCATGTTTCCACGAAACAAGTAGGTCTGTCTGATGCAAAAAGAGCAGTAAGGTCCACAGCCACAGGAACCCTTCTAGCCAAAGTGACAGAGTGACCCTCTGAAAGGCAAGTCCCTGACTGCTCTCCAGCTGGAAGCTTGATCTCCGATTGGGAAAGCACAGAAGAAACTGGCATACCATCTTTCCAAAGCCATTAACGGCATTGTACTAATAATGTTTAAGCCTGATGTACCTTAAAGTGAATGTAGAAGAAATACGCAATCTCATATTGATTATGGGGCAGAAACAAACCAGAAAATGATAAAACAAAGTAGAAAGTGGAAAAGAAATGGACAGAAATCTACAAAGTTGTGTATTAGTGTTTGACCACTCAGGTGCCAGTATGCGAAGTGAAACATCAGCTGTCGAGTTTCTGTGCCGTTTATTACTTCTCGTTGGAGTGCTGGAGCTTAAAGCCCTGAGCTCTCCAGATGGTCCTTCTGATGAAGCAATTAGTGGTGAGCATGCAAATAATCATTGGGTGTCCAGCTGAGCTGTGCTGCAAAACACCTTCAGTGGTGCTACGCAGGTGCAGCTGGCCAGGACTTCACATAAAACCAGGTCTGCCCAATCTCCCCACAATCTACACAGTGGCCTAAAAACCTACGAGGAATTGAGCGTTACCCTTTGCAGCTCCGCGTGCACCACAGGCTGTGCAGCGTGGGACAGGAGTTTATCCACACTTCCTGATTCCTTCCACATCATTATTTTTTTCGTTGGGGGTGCCAGGTCTAATGTGGTGAGGATGTCTGTGCAGCTCTTAAGTTGGTTGTAGATGGTGTTGCAGCTCAGCTCCTTGTTTACATCCACAAGCAACTTCCTCTTTCTTTTTGTTTTTTTCCTCTGGGTAACAGCTAAATAGAGCAAATTTTTTTTTTTTTTTTTTCTTCCTCTGGGTAACAGCTAAATAGAGCAAGTAATTATTTTTTTAAAAAAGAAAAAAGTCTAATAAGGTCTATTTACAGAACACTTAAGCACATAAAAAGCACTGTGAATCAAACAGGCAGGCTGCTGACCTCATGACACACCGCACACACTTGACAATCGAAGTACAAGTGCATGGGCCATTTCTCCAAAAGTTTTCATCAAGTAAACTCTTTGTATGCTTGTACAGGAAATTCACACACACTTAATTACAGAAGACATATGGCTATTGCACTAAAGAACTGGGAACACGAGGACTTCATGAGAACACGTGATCCACCAACAAGACTGAATAAGCTATCTTTAATCCATCAGGAAGTTAATTGTTCCAAGGATCGCTGAGGTACTCAACAGGTTTCATTCCCTCATAATTAATATCTGTATTTGTCACTTTAATCGTTTAGCAATTTAATTAAGATGTACATAGTAAATGTAGAAGAGAGACCTGGATTGATGTTATAGCCGTAACTTCCTGAATATTATTTTGGCAGGCTGGAAAATTCCAGTGTTCTAAATATTAGTGTCAATGTGAGCTTGTTTATTTGCTCACAGCCACCAACGTGGTAGGTGACATTTAGATTCACCCGCAGAAGAAATGGAACATTGTTCTTTATGGATCTTTTTAAAGTTTAACATTCACAAAACAAACTTTTACAAAGGCCTGGAAGTTTTAAGGTCGTTATTTTACACATCAAAATCGCTGATGTGTCACTAGCAATAAAAGTTTGTCAGCTGAAGCTCCAGTAACGCTCATGAACAGGCCGGGCTCGCGCCGCAAGGTACGTGAAAGAAACTGTAAGCAGAGATTTGGGCAGATCAGATGAGTAACCGACTATTGTTTTGTAAAATAGTTCCCACAAAACAGAACTCTGACAGCAGGAGCAGGTGAACTGTAAAGTGAGAATAATCTGGTGTGCAAATGTTTTCACTAACAAGAAGAAAAACAAACCTCCTAATGCAAACATTCGGCAAGAAGCTGGTCAGGTTCTCACCTGTGTCATCAACTGGCTCAAGCACAAATCCTTCTTCTGCTCTCAACAAAAGTATCGTGTCGTTCGCCAGGCGACCGACTTCCTGCACCGCGGTGTCTGCGCAGCTGGACTCAACTACAAGAAAACCCAGCAAATAATCCAAATCAAAAAGAGTTTACGAGATGGAATAATGTCTCAGTCTCATGACGCAGAATGATATCGGACCAAAAAATCAGAATGAGAAAACTATGATTTTGTCTGTAATCTCACAACCACTTTAACCAGTAACAACTGGCACTGCTGCTGCTCACATTCCACGCTTCCCTCTGCTAAAACCGGGTGGCCGAACAGCCTGAAGAACCGATCTGGAGGAACACCCACCTGAAAAAACGTGTTTAGGGAAAAAGTGTTTGGTTTCAATTCGTATCTGTTTCCAGCTCCGGGCAACTGCGTGGCAGTGTGGTCATTTCTGCCAACACAAACGGAACAGGGAGTACCAGGACCAGGGCAAGGAGAGGCGAGTGCCACTGTTTCCCTCTAAAACTGTTCCAGATTACTCAGCTTTAAAGTAACAGTGTGATGGGGGTATAAGGGCTTACGATACTAAAAACAAATTAGTTTATTTCAGCCTGGAGAAGAGAAGGCTCCGGGGGGATCTTATTGCAGCCTTCCAGTACCTAAAGGGGCTACAGGAAAGCTGGGGAGGGGCTTTTTACAAGGGCGTGTAGTGACAGGACAAGGGGCAATGGCTTTAAACTGACAGAGGGCAGATTTAGGTTAGATATAAGAAAGAAATTCTTTACATTGAGGGTGGCGAGGCACTGGAACAGGTTGCCCAGAGAAATTGGGGACTCCAGGCCAGGTTGGGTGAGGCTTTGGGCAAACTGGTGTAGTGGAGGGTGTCCCTGCCCATGGCAGGGGGGTTGGAACTGGATGGTCTTTGAGGTCCCTTCCAGCCCAAACCAGTGTGTGATTCTATGATTCTGTAATATCAAACCGAAAGAAGACCAACACCACCTTTATGAACTACTAAAGTGCGTCACTGAAATACAAAGCCAGAAATACTCGTAGGTAAAGTTCAAAGTTAACAGCACACCCTTGTTGAGTTTCCTT